TAGGTTCGGATATCCGACTGTTTCCTGGATTTTCCTAGGTTTGGCGAAGCAGCCCCCGATGTACGAAGGGCGCGCAGTCACGCTGTGCCGTGTTTTCAACTTCGACGGTTGCTTTACAGTCTGTCCGCCTGGATGACTTCTTAAAGAGCGACGACGAAGCACGTCATCGGTCTCCATCTACGCTTCGCCAAAATACGCGTTAAGTACCTCGAGATCTGTACAGAGCTGGCCGCTAGATGGACGAGGATGTAGGATTAGTTCAAGTGAATAAGCAATGAGGGAGGGCCGTAGGAGAGGGTGGAAGTGCGAAGGATCCAGAAAACAAAGACGCACACGCATTGAAAAGCCGCATATTGTACTCTCGGATATCGGTCGCTGAATAGCGGGGGGATCAAGCTAGAGAAAACCAAAAAAGAGCAAGGTCAGCATTTCATCCGAGTGGCGTCTCACGCGTAGTGCCAAGCCAAACTCCTCCCGCTACACTCTCGCCCGTCTTCTACGTCCGTAGCACTCGGTGAACAGCGCCCGTCACTGTAGCTCCCTCTCGTCAAGCCGCTGCCCCTTTCTCCAATGAAAGATCTGTCCTCGAATACAATATCGAGGCACCCACGCCTCGTAAAACTCGACCACTCGACGTCCCCCGCATCCCTTCTCAGATGACCTAACAGCACAACCAACCGTCCACGATGAAAGACAAGAACTTGATGCCCAAGAGAGAGAAGAAAGGAGTGAAAGGAAAGAACGTACCCAACGACCTTCCCCAGTTCATTCTACTGTACCTCCCAGAAGTTAGACGACCGCTTACGTAACGTGGGAACTCCCGTGAGGAGGCGACGGACCCTTGGGACAGCGGGACACAGGCGACGGCCAGTCACCTTGCCTCCGAGGGAGAGTGACCCGGCCCTGTACAAATGGTCAGTACTTCGAACCTTTCTCGATTTCACGTCCATCTGCAGTGGTACTTGCAGTTCTGTATCTAAACACTAATTAAAACAAATTTATATTATTTGTTGAAGAAAATACGAGAAAATACGAATATATTACCCTAGGCGACAAGAACCTCGGGACACCGGGACAAGCGCCCAAATAGGCAACGCGACAGGCCCCTCGGGACACCGGACATCGCCTAACGTCTGGGAGGTACAGTACATCGCTTTACTCGTGCCTTCGCCTATCACCCGAATCGAATCCAACGTCCAGCACCATCGCGCCATCGCGCCGATACACACGATCACGAATGCCAGCCAGAAAGGGGAGAGAACGAATAAAAAGACGAAATAGATCAGCTGATGGACACAATGATAATAACGAAAACAAAAAACAAAAAGACCAAGGGGAACGAAGACGACGAAGGTCAAAACAACGTACCAACATGCCCGGTATCAACTGAAACGCAGCGGGCAGCACCGCTTTCCCGCCGACGGCACACGCGAGCCTATCGAGCGATTATTTGTAGATGTGGGGGTAAGTATCGTCTGTCAGGTCGTCGAAGGGCTAGATTGTTTTCGGGATTTGGTCGATACGTGCGAGTTTGTTGATTTAGTCAGTGATTTGGGCAATCGTCTAGGTGGTGAGTGGAGATTTCTTCCGAGAGAGGAGGGGAATAGGCAGGTTATTGGATGGAGGGAAGGAGGTAATATCGGGGAGTGTAAAAAAACGAAACCAGTTAGCTTCTGATCAATGCACGCGAACGATAGAGAGATAAAAGGACAGGCTAATTGACGATGCAATACGCCCCAAGCGCCACAACGACTTCTACATCCGCCCGGGCATACGACGCCCCCATCGCAATGCACCAGACCTCCTTCTCCCCACGTCCACCAAACCGGGGAATATCGAACCGCTCGAACCATATCGAGATCCACCAACGAACCAAAAACTCACATCAGCATCTAGCGCTCCACTCCTCCTCCCTCACATCAAACCCCTCCATCCCGCCCAAACACCCCTCACCAAAAACTGGACCCATCCCTCCGTCCTCCTCACCATCCCCGGTTTCGCCTCGCTCAAGCTGATCATGAACTCCAGCGCGGCCTTTCTCACCTCTTCCGCTTCAAGGTCCTGTCGTCTTGCGGGTCGTCTTCCGTGCCGGAGGAGTGGGAGTCAGGAGAGAGATGTGAGATGGAAGGGGGAGGGTGGGAATGTGAATCCGCCGGAGGAAGGGCCGGAGGAAGAGGGCGACGTTGGGTATGGGACCGTGGCCTGCGCTGGGAAGGATGAGACTGGGGAGCTAGCAAAGGAGGGGGGGAGGGAGATGGGGGGCGAAGAGGGAGGGAGAGGAAGTGGCGAGTGGGGTTAGGGTGTTCAGGACGCTGTTGTTGCGGTGGCGTTGGAGAATATGTTTGAAAACGTCAGTGAGATGAGAGTCAGTGGAGTGTGTGAGAGACGTACCGAGGG